GTATACTTACTCAGAGTTTGCTCTAAACCGGCTTCCTGAAACAGGGCCCTGGAGTAAAATTCAGAGTTTAACAGACAAAAACAAATTCTGTCCCATGTTGTTTGATGTACTCTGTGGACATTCAAACAACATGCTGGCACAAGTCGCAAAAATTTTGAGGCTTGCAGAGGAGCAGGTGATCATTACATTAATACTAAAACACACTGATGCTCTTTTAGATTTCTTCATTTCAGTACTCCCTGCAGTCCAAACGGTTCCTGTCAGAAGTCTCTGGATGGGCTCATCTTCTGGAAGAACAAACTATAGAGAGGAAGTCCAACCAGTTCTTCAGCATAGCATGTCTGACAGATGTGCAGTCTTAAACATGACTAATTTTGTTGTCTTTTATCTTTGTGTTTCAATCACACAGAGCTCATTGTGAATCCTGGACAAGATGCCCCTCTTCAGTGTCAGGGTCCCAGAGATGCAGAGATCACCCTGTTGAAGTGGAACAGAGCTGACCTCAAATCAGATGATTATGTCTTCTTGTACAGAAACCAGCGCCCATATGAAAACTACCAACATGAGTCCTTCAAAGGCCGAGTGAACCTGATGGATCCGTCCATGAAGGATGGAAATGTTTCAGTGACGCTGAGGAACGTCAAGCTCACCGATACAGGAACGTACAAGGGTCAGATTACAACCAAGGAAACAGAAAGTGTCGTCCATGAGTGCTCCATCAGCCTCAAAGTCACAACCTCAGGTAAGTTTGTAGAGGTGGAACTTGGTGTTTATAAGTCTTCTCACTGTGGGATGTCTGAGCATCAAAGGTTCTTTCATTCAGGGCAAAGTCCGTTGGTTTGTTTGTCTTTAGGCTCATGTTTGTCTCTGTTACCAAAAACGAATGTATGAGATGAAAAGTTGCGTCAGTCATTAATTAATACCGATGCAGGAGTCTGAGAGAGAAAATAGAAATGATAACCTCTGCAGTGAGGGCGCTCTAACCCTAATTAATTCTTTATTTCTCTTCTTCTTCTGCTGGATGTGTTTATGGGTGAAAATGGTGTGAAACGCTGAGATTCTAGTTCTTAACCAAATGCCTGCACATAATGTCATTACTGCTTTTCTGACATCCAGGTGACTGCTGAAAGGTGTGACATCGCTTCTGCTGAAAACAGGAAAGGTTTTCCTGGTAGCTCAGTTCTCACACCTGTTTCTGCTCTGCTGGTTTTACAGATAAACACACCAAGGAGTCCCAGGCTGAGTCCAAGGATGGAGGAGAGAAGGATAAGTGTCTGTCTGTCATCATCCCTGTCCTGTCAGTTTTTGCTTATTACTGATATTATGTAATTGCCCGCAGAACCTGAAAAATGTGTCCGATCTCTTTACTGACAGTGAGTTCTGCTCTTCAACAAAGACGAATCTTTCAATAGGATCTGATTCTGTTAGAGCTCCATGCAGCGCATCGACAACCTCACCAATCATTACAGTTAAATCAGTTAATGTTAGATCAGTGCTGTCCCATTGTGGCTGTAAAAAGCTTTGAGTCTGGGTTTTATGTACTTGTAGCTTTATTGTTTGAAGTCTACAGCAGAGCTTGGCTTTTCTCTGGGAACAGGCAGCAGGTGGAGGAGCAGCTGGTATGCTGGTTGAGTCTTTCCAAAAGAAAAAATCAATCTATCCTTTTTCTTTAGCTTATCTGGAGTGGGTTATGGGAGCCCCAGCCTGAGCAGAGAAGGCCAGACCTCCTTCTCACCAGCCACTTCCTCCATGTTGTCCTGGAGCCTCCTCTCAGTGGAAAAATGAAACGAGTAGGTGTTGTTTTTGTTTGGGTGGGGGGGCTGTTTTGAGAGAGACCAACAGAATCAGCATTAACATGTAATATAAGCTATATATATCCCAGCGCATGTGGGCAGAGGTGGAGGCATGCAGTGCATCTATTGTAGCAAGACTGTGAACATGTTAAATCCTAAGTATACTACTGAATAAGCTCCTTATTACCTTCTTTAAGCACTTTATTTTGCACTTTAAAAAAAACATTTGTTTTTTAATCAACTGCAGGCACTTTCCTCCTTTTTGCTGAGACCGTATCAGTGGTTTCCATTCAGATGACCTCACATTTAAGATCACTGGCTCAGGCATCCCTGGACTGTTTTCAGCACAGCTGCAGTTTTAAGATCTCAGCAGACATCCTATGTAGGAGCCATATGAGTTGTTTCCGTCTGACTAAATGGGTTGGTTTAAATGGACTCACTGTATTGGTGCATGGGTGTGGGGCGTGTCTCATGGGTGTGGTATAAGGTGAAGGTGGTTGCACTCACTTGTACACAGCACCTGATGTGATGAGCAGAAGGTAGGGTGAGCACGAGGCAAAACTTTCTGTTGACCGCAATAGAACGCAATAGAACGCAACAGAGCACAACTTGAGCGTAACTTGAATGATTTTGTTGTATTTTAACTGGAACTTGATGGTGTTTGTATATTGGAGTACTAATTAATGCCATAAACCAGGTTGTAATTGGACATAATGGTTAGTACAGTTATCGACGAGTTGCAGTTATTTGTTTGTGCAATCTGTGCGTTTGTTTGATAGTTAATCCTATGTGCCGATGTATATATTGGACGGTTGCATGTGTAAATAAAGAAGCAAATGTTACAGAAGTGTTTTGTGCGTTAATTGTTGCGCGTCATCAGGTGTCCTCATGTTTAGCCTGCTGCGGCCATTGGTTGGAGTAGCCGCAACATCCTATTATGTCCTCTTGTACTTGTGTCTCTGTGATCAATCGTCTTAAATGAGTCAGAACTCGGACCTTTCAAATCATTTTCACTTTTGGGAAGTGGACAACGTCACGGGGAGGCTAGTGTGGTGAATAGGGTGGTGATCAAAGATTTCACTCAGTAGACTTTAATGTACCGAGAGACAGTACAGAGCGGGTCAGACACCTCCTACAATTTGTGTTTAAAACTGACTTGAATTTCATTCCTGAGCAGTTTTCTGATGAAGACATTCAAAGACTGGTGGCAGGTCTAAAAACAGCAGCTGCACCTAAAACAGTCCAGAGGTTTCTGATTTTTTTATTAGTCTGTTCTTTGGTTTATAAAGAATGTACTTTTATTATATATGTGTATTAAAGTTATCTGTTAGTCAGTGTTAGGGGACCATGATCAGCTGTGACCATTGTTTATCGTGCTTCAGTTTGTTTTTAATGCGCAGCATATAATCCTGACAAATATACAACACAACAGGCACTGAGTGATGAGTCAAATACATTTTAAATAAGCAATTCATATAATGGAAATCTATCAGTGCAATGATTGGATAAAATCTGTTAAAGAAACTGAGCAGGAGTAGGAGAGAGCAGGACTTTACTCCACATCAGGAGGAAACAAGACTCTGTGTTTGTACATGTCAGATGGATGACATACATAAGCTATAAAGTGCTGTGATTACGTCATTATTAAAATTTGCAGTGTTCCTTGTTTTCTTTATTTTATATTAACCGTTTTTGTGAATGTTCTGACTACACACATCTGACTTCATCTAGAAGGCTGAAGGATGTGTGTGTTGGTTTTCATGTGAGGCCTTTTATTTTGTCTCTGAAGTAGTAAGTGGGGGCAGGCCCCATGATCGGAAGGTCGGGGGTTCGAATCCACTGAACGGCTGAGCTGAGGTACCCTGAGCAAGGTACTGTCCCTACACACTGCTCCCTGGGCGCCAATGGCTGCCCACTGCTTCTTACTGTCTGTTTAATATCTTTTTAAAATAATGTTAAATCTTATTTTGGGTCAAAGTCAGAAAACATTTAAAACACGTCATGTCAGATTTGACTGCTGATTCTATGCGTGCATATTTTATGCCCTGGTGACCATAAACATTAAAGGAGGTGTAGATGATGCTTCACAAATAACGACCAGTGTTTCCTGATGGCTGCAGAGCATGGAGATATGCTGTCGTCCTGCAGCTGTGGTGCCAGAGACGAGTCCATCCTGTGGAGATGAAAGCTTAGTTTAACTTTGTCGTGTTGCAAATCACATCAAGTTTCACCTGGATGAGAAAACAGTCTTGGAGTCATAACTGGTTATGGTGATCTTAGACTAGTTATTTTTCCTCCCACCTCCTTAGATCACCATGACCTGCATGACTGAAAACCTACACAGACTTATTGTTTTTATTGATGTTTTTGACTCACTGTCAGTGGATCATGAGTTCTGTTTAAAGGATCAAGGGTCAACACTCCCTCCTCACATCCAGCTGTGGCCCTGCCACCCTCAGAGCTCTGTGCAGACCCCAATTTAAAAATAAATTGTCCCTAAATGTCTGTTTTCATCCGTCCTTTTAACAGGAGCTGTTTTAAAATTTTCCTCCTTTTAGCTCAAAGTGGTAAATCTGTACCTAAGATGCATGCAGCTCTTGGACACTTTGTGTCAACAACTAGAAGCCTTTGGTGAAACTTACAGACTAGCCGGTCCTTACTTTTACAGGTAGTCGGAGCTGATCATGTTTTTTTTTTTTCTCTGTAATCACATCGGAACCCACAAAAGTCTTTGTGTGGCTAAAACAAAATAAGACTGTTTGTATCACAGTAAACTAGACATATAGACACTATTACTGACCATTACTGACAAAATGATTTGAAAACTGTGGAGATCGGTTTCTGTTTTACATGCTTTCCGTGTCTGTTTATCTCTCCATCAGAAAATGTTTCACTCATCTCCACAGTTTTTAAGTCCTGAGCAGCAGAACAGCTGCACGCCTTGAACATCTGTTTTCTCCTCCTGAGACTTAAAATATGAGCAAACAAATAGGCCGTGAAAGGAGGACTGATGGTGGAGGAGTGGCTGTGATCATCAAGTGTTCTTGAGGAGAAAGAAGATGTGCTGCCACCTGCTGGCTGTAGTTTGTAACTGAAATTGTGATAAAACGATGACATAGATCATTTCTTTAGGTTTAACTTTGATTTGGTATATAATGGTCCCTACTTCCTGTTATATTTTGAAGATTAGTCTCCTGTTGTGTTTCTGTTTACTGCATTTACTATTTCATTCCTCACCAAAAACCACTGTGAGCCTTTCATGCTGAAGGATGTCTTGATTCTAAAAATGCATCGTGAGGATTGCGAAGCTCCAGGAGGAGCTGTAATGTTGTTTATATTGTTTAAAAGGCTTGTAATTACTGAGAATATTTTATTATATGAATATATTATGATCTAAATATTTAAATCATATATGAATGTATTGTTTGTAGCATATATGCATGAAGATCACTGGACTGTAATAATTTATAATGTACAAGTGAAGCTGAATTGTTTTGTGTCTGCAACAGTGTGTAACTTGAGTGATGCAACAGTAAATATAAATATTACTTTGTCTTTTGTAATTATTTATAATGTGTATATCCTTTATTTCTCCCTCTTCTTAAAGTATGTCTTCAATGCAGCCATTGTCTACTAATATGTGTAAGATTGTGACTGCAGCTGGTTTCAAAGACTTCTTCTTCTTTGTTTCCTAACCTGATAAAGACAATCTTACTTTTTGAATCTGAGCTGTGGTGAAGGTGTGACAGTCAGCTTCAGTGAGGAGTAGATGACTGTTGTCTCTAATGAAACATCTGAAACAAACACAGAATAAAGAAGTTTAAGATCATATAATAATCTCACATGATACAGGAAGAACCAGCTGGTTTTCCCCACTCCTCACACTCAGCTCTGGTGTGTGTGCTTGTGTTTCTCCTCAGAGTCCATCCAGCAGAGCTGTCGTCCTCCTCACAGCTCAGAGACACAAAGTCTCCTTTAAAGAACTGAGAGCTGCTGGGACTCACAGTCAGACGAGCTGTGAGGAATTTATTGTAACTTGAACAAAAAAGTAAAAATAAAATTATTGTTTGAGGTGACCTGAAGTTTATTCAACAGGTCGTGCCAGAACACTGCATAAAATAAAGCTGGTTGGTTGATTTTGCTGCCTTTACGTAGCTGCTAAGTTCATTATTTGTTTAAGACTATCTCCTCCGCACTCTTCTTCTGATTGGCTGCTGTTTTGAAGGGAGGAAGGTTCAGGGCTGAAGCAATCAGCTTCATGGGCTCATCCGGTTAGAATAAGAAAAGCA